TTGGCTTCTCACTTCAAACTACCATACCCCCACTGCATGTCATATTCCACTACTTCCACAATACTCATCTTGCCGCTTCTCTGCCTTTGTGTCCGTCTCTCTTATACATCTGTGAATTACTCTTCTGAAGCCCCCTCCCCCCCCCCAGCCCCCACCCCTCACGTGATTTTTGTGACTCTGATGTTCCTCCCTTCTGTGAAGCCAGAAGACAACAAAAAAAGGCTAATTATAGCCATCATAAAGCCTGCCATTGATGCAAACAAATTTCCAACGCACAAAAAATATCACTTATCAATGTATATAACATAGGTCGACTTTCTTCTCGCAATACACCTGCGTAAGTAAATAATTATCCCTAACGAGACGCTTATATACAAGAATTCGATAAGAGAGATAACTGAAAGCCCTCGGATCTGATTACTTGGCTTAGTTATCTGAAGAGACAATTGGTCCAAATGCGCCACTAACTTTAATCAATAGGTCAGTAAGGCTTGAACATAACGGATAGGATCACATTCGAGAACCCCCTGGAACACAATGCAATTTTACGTACAGAACATTCGAACATAGAGCAATGAAGTAAGCTTAGAAAGAAAATAAAATTGTAAACAACTGGCTTGTCTGAAATGTGTCTTAGTACTTCTGTCCGCTAACCCTACACCAACTCATCTAAAATTTTAGTCATTCATTAGGAGATGTACATGAAATGAATCACCGGATATGAATTGCGCTTGGGCCACACACAAATAGTTGATCAGTTAAATACAAGAAATTCGAATTTCACAAAAATGTGCAATTTGGCTAGGTGTAGTGATTTGTGCTCGAGAAATGCAGCCTTCAAGTCTGTGATATTTTCAAAGTTCACGTAGATTATTAAACAATGCAGTAGAAACAAACGGATCTATGGTAAATGTGGGGGTGTGCGATAAACTCACCACCACATGGTGCTGTCTAGGCAACGTAAACTCATACGGCAAAAAGTCTTTAAGCAGAAAGTTAACTTCAAACTGCCATGACTTAACTCTAGGTCATATTCGATCACTTTCACCGTACTCACCCTACTTTACCTTTGGGTCTCTCTCTTTTATGCCTTTGAATCACTCTTCTGTTCCCCATCCCCATCCCCTCTCAACCTTTTGTGACTTTTTTGTTCCTCTCCCTCTGTGAAGCCAGAAGTCAACTAAAGGATTAATGATAATTATCATAAAGCCCGCCGTTTAATGCTAATAAATAAATGATAAAAGCGTGTGTGTGAGTTGACAATTTTATCTCCTCATCTTAGATGGTCTGTCAATTTTAAATAGTTGTTTTTTTTAGCAAATTGATGATTTATATGTACAATAATTAACGTAAGAACACATTTGGCTATAAAGCATACCTTTTAGAATCTCATGAAATTAAAAGCTTTATTCACAGGCACACTCATATCACCATCCCTTTAAAAATGGATATTTTCCACTCTATCTACAAAAATAAGCGTAAAATGGTGGCGATTTTTAATTACTTTCAAATGTCTCAAGGTGCTTTGGGCATTTTTTGCCGGGAAGTTGTATAAACTTATGTGATTGGTTGCTTCTCACATACGCCTTTCCATCTCATAGTTGGAATCAAATAATAACTGAAAACAAATGAGTGCCTTTTTTCAAATCCATTGATCGATAAACTTCTCATAGGGAAGAAACCCTAAACCCTCTAACGCTCTTAGGTATATACGGTCCTCTTTCAAAATAACCTCCATTGGTACTAGACTCGTAACAGAAGGCCCTGTTGCCGTATGAAATAAGTTCAATACGTGGGTGCAGCCTTCACCTGAAGCCACCAGAACTCATCACATCGGCGGCATCAGTCTGTTGCTGTGAGACACACGTGAGTGGAGTTGGGTACATTTTCAAAAAAAAATTATTCGTACGTTAAAGGGTTAAGAACCTCCCGTCTCATCATCAGTCTTGTTACCGTTGATTAAGAAGAGGTAAGTACCGAAGTAGTTCTTGAAAATGAGTAAATTAACCCCCTTATCATGGTATCACGATGATTACTTCCAATGTGAAATATTTTTTTGTGAAAATTGCAATTTTTTTAATAATTTTTTTTTTCTAACTTAGGTAATCCTTATTATTTCAAGAATTACGTTTCTGGCTAAAAATATCCCCCTCACCGAAGTAATTGGACAAACGCTTGTCTGATTACCCTGTGTGTCGCAATGGAAATTGAGGAAAAACAGCTGAACCTCCCACTCCACCCCCCTCCCCCCCCCCCCCCCCCCCCCGACTGCTTTTTAACTGCATTCACCCACGACCCACGCTATAAATAGCTCAACTCGATCAAATGTTGGGGGAGAGTATTTTGGCACAGGAAACTTCTCGTGAACAGGAGGAAACAGCTCCATTCCGTTTGTGGATTTTTTTAAATATAAAATATATAAATATTAAAAATATATTTATTTTGAAAAGGAGAGATGGAGATGCTTAAAGTCCTACTGAGGAGGTTGAAACCATTATATGAGCTGATATCATTAAGTCCAACTTTATTCCTACCTATCCCAAATATTCGGCCACAATTAATCAACTAATCGCCCTCATTGTGATTTTATGCTTCATGAGAGAAGAAAAGTAAACTTAACTAAAGAAAAGTTGAAAATGACCGAGAAAACAAAGATTGGGGGTTAGGATTCCCTTAATCTTCAAATTCGATTATGACCTTGGGCTTTGTGAGCTAACTAAATTGAGATAACAGAACGCATTACATTCTCATTGAAAGACGTAACTCGAACGAGATTCAAATTCATTTACATTTTTGTAGAGTTGCACTTAATTAACTTTTGCCCATTTTATTAATAGAAAAGAAATGAGTCTTTTTTTTCATAACTTTTTAATGACCACTCCTCAATTCTCTTGTGAGGTTATTTGGAAAAATTTTTGCTAGGGTGATACATTGCCTTTCATAAACTAAAAAGTATAGTGGAATTAGATGAGATCTTTTCTCAGATAAAGACAATTTGTTTATTCGAAATGACTCAAGAAATGAGGTATGTCACTCATGTATCAATGGTTCCCACGAATGTCGCTTAAACCACAAGATTCGCTAGAACTACCAGAGATCTTTATTTAGGTTATCGACACTTCAACTATTTTACTTTGTAAGTAGGGTTTAAGAATTTAAAAGAGTAAAAATACTTTTAGAGACAAGAAATGACAGTAGCGAGGTCTTAATGGTTTAACTATCCACGTGTATGACCGCAAAATTATGAGAATATGCGTTGTTGCTTGTCTCAGTGGTCTACAATCCATCCAACTAACGGCGAAATGGAGTCTGCTGTCTAGGAACCAGTCAATCAATGTGTGCAAGTGCTCCAACGGCACATTTAGATAGGTTGCAAGAAATCCATCACTATTTCTGATTAATATTGGAAAGGAATTTCTGCAAGAGCAGCAGCAACGCATTGGTCAACATGCACGTCTGTCTAGGTGGAAGCTTACAAATCGATGCTCATTGGAGCGAGTCTTGTGAAGTGAGTAGAAGTAATAATTAATTCTAATCAATTGGAGTGGTGGTAGAATGAGAAGTTCTCTTAGGATTGCCAATGGATTACCACCTCCCTGACCAATTTAAGTGAAATTCAAACTTTCTTCAAGGGCATTTTGACACATGGAGCTCGATGACACATCATAAGAGTTGAATGCGATAGAAAAGTAATCCAAAAGTTATAATTTATTCAGTACTTGAACCACTTACCAGTATAGTGGAATAAAATGACAACAAAAATTAATATCAACATTTTTTGCTTTCAACACAGCTCAACTGAGATTGGAGAATAAGGTGAAAATAAGGCAACTTACGATTTCTTTGAGAAGATTTTCGAGTTCTTGAGGGTGAGACTGGACAGAAGTGGGAGTTTTTTTATGTTCACGAAAGGAGGGAATTCGAATTTTCATATTGGATGATTTGGAGGAATCCGGTCGGAATATACGAATAATTCCTTTAAAACTTTTTGAAGATGAACGCCGAAGAGGTGTCTTAAGAGATTCGATCTTAGGTAATTCTGTTGCCATTCTACCATATTTATATGAAATAGAAGTTATGAAATGAAAAAAAGCTTGATAATAATTTTGTTAAATAAAATAAATAATGATGAATAATACCATATGATTAGCGTTAACAGTTCAGAAAATATCGGGTCTAATATACAAATGATTAAATAGCGCATTTTAAAGGCGTAATATCAAACAGCATTAATAAAAATACAAATTGGAAAGAAGTGAAGATAACCAAAACTGATAAAAAAATGCGTCAAAATTCCTTAACATTTGAGAATTGCAATAAAAACTAAGCAACCATACCACATGAAATAAATATAAAGAAAAACATTCCGCTTAGAGGAAGAAAAATAGTACTACTCACATAGTGCATTGAATGAAGAAAGCTTATGTTTTCAATCACACTGAAGAAATTATAGGACCCTAGTAGAAAGGTTGAAAAACGTCACCTTAGAAAAGTTGAAGTAAGCGTAAAGGTAATGCTATAAGTATACAAGAAAGTAATTTAATAACCGAAGAAATCACAATAATTCCAAAAAAGAACAAATCAATTCATATAAAAAAAACTAAATAAGATATAATTCAGCAAACATTAATATCTCAAGTATGTAAAAACAGAAAAAGTGGAAAGAACATAAAATCTGTACATTTAAATAACTAAGAACGTGTTCGGAAATTTGCTTTATACTAAATCAAATTAAACTGTAATTCATAATTATTAGAACAATATGAACTTGCACGAAACAAATCAATGAACTAAATTCTTGCTATCTAATAAATAAAACTATGCAGGGCAAATAACCTACCAATGCCATTTTCATTCTGAAGATTACAAAATCGTGGCCATGGTGGACCTTGAACATTTAAATAACTTTGGTTTATACAAACAGTTAATGCTCACCATAATTCAAGTTTTAAAATACAATAATCACGATTTTTTAAAATATTAATAATTACTCTTTAACAGACGCTCATTGACATATGGTCATTATTTAAATATTTAAACCGTTTATTTCTATCAAATTTTCATTTGGCTCTAATTTCTACTAGGTTATATTTTCCCCCGCAATTAATTTTGACTATCATAGTATATATATTACACTGTTATGCATAACAGTGAGTTTTTATGCCTCATCAAATAACTATTCTCACATTTTTCTGCCATTTATTTTGATTTCATACTTAAAGTTGTAAATTTCTCCTCCAGTATATTTCTATTTCACGAAATCGTCCGTAATTAGTTAATTTTATGTCTTAACTAAATTCGAAGAATAACGATGAATTCTATATCAATGTGTGGATTTGATTGAAGGGTTGCATTTTACCCTCATTCAGGTATTTATGTAATATTCTACTCTTTACCTGGCTTCGAGCCAATTGGATATAGTATCCTCGTCGACGTTCTAAAAATCAACGCTGCCATGCTTTATCTTGTAAAATCTTGGTCAATATGTTAGGTAAAGTGTTGGATTCAGATAGACTCTGAGGGCGAACAGGTGGTTAAGTGAAAAGGCATGTGAGACAGTGGGGAGGGGGGGGGGGGGGGGGGGGAGGGAATCCTCCCACAATTGGGCGGGGCTCACACCGGATCATGAATTTAGATACAGTTTCGTACTAAACAAGGAAGTTATTGATAAAAGGGTACTTTTAAACTCAATTAACCATTGCAGATTATACTTAATTCATTGGGATATACAGATCAGGTATTCTCTCAGTAAATGTGGGCAAGGAAGAATGTTAAAATGTAAAGCTTTAACAGAAAGCGAAAAGTGATGAAAGACGAAAATAGATGAGCGTTGTTCACTTACTCACCCGCTGATTTAAGCCTTAGGCAATATGGCATTGGACGCGTAAACTCGATCTGTAAGGTTTGTTTATTTATATTAAATGGCAGGCATTTTGATAGTTATCATTGACCCTATCGTTGACTTCAGGTTTCACAGAGTTGGGGTAGCATCAAAGTGAAAAGTCAAGAGGGTGGAATAGAAGTGTTTTAAAGATGTAAAAGAGACAGGCAGATACAAAGGTAGAAAAGAGGTGAGGTGAGTTCTATGGAAGTAGTCGAATATGACATACAGTTGGGTGATGGTAGTTTGAAATCATAAGTCAACTACCGATTGATAGGCATTTTTGCCGCATAAGTATACTTTGCTCAGGGTGCACCACATGGAGGTAAGTCTCTCGAACACTGCGAGGCAGCGTGGCCGAGTGGTCTAAGGCGCTGGTTTTAGGCACCAGTCAGAAATGGCGCGGGTTCGAATCCCGCCGCTGTCATCGCCTTTTCCGCGCACGACTCCTCCCACCCCCCTCTCACCCTCGTCACCCACCCACACAATCTGGAATGTGCTGTCATAGGTACAGTGAAGCCAGTAATCGAATCAAATGCTAATAATATAACCATAAAGGCTCTATAAAACTAGCAAAATTCCAAGATGGCTGTTCACTGTTAGACTTATTGTTTTTCATTAGGCATTTTAAACATATTTTTTCGTTATTTTAACTAAATTCCATTCCTATCCTTTTCATTATTTAGGAACTCTCGTAATTCACGATTTAACTATTTTTCGCATTCGAGCAGTTTTTTAGTTATATTTACCATTTTTATTTTGGATTTCACAATTGTAATCTTCTTTGTGCCAGTTATTTCGAGTTACTCAAGTAAGTCGTTTACATTATATTGGCATCTTAAAAACAGGTTATGATGAGCTTCGTAATAACAGAAAATTCTAAACTACGATTTTTGGAATTAAGCCACCCCATCTAGACTATTGGATTAATAGATTTAAAGATTTAAAGCCAATTTCAAGTGTTAATTCTGTCTTCTGTGTATTATTTAAAACAATTAACAACAGCAAAAATAACTTATTATTTGTTTATAATATGCCTGTCTTACTGTAAAAGTAATTATCTATAAATCTAAATTGATTACTATGGCACATGAACGTTCCCTTCAATCTAATGAATTTACAGTTTTTGTAAATTTTATTTTACGTATATCAGAGACTCCCAAGCCCATTTGGGGTGGTTTTTATTAAACAGTAATCTTTGGGTTTGGGGAAATATCTTGAAACCTCTCAAAAAGCAACTTCAACAGAGCTTTTCTCATTTTTATTCTGATTTAACTGGTGCGGTAGGCCATTTCGCCCACGTTGATCTCTTCAAACCTATGACCTCACCCCCCCCCCCCCCCCCCCCCCCACCTTCCAGTCATTTGAGTTATTTGCTTTCCTTTTTGGGGGTACATTGGGAGCTTATTAATTTGCTCTTTATTAAAATGCCTCTCCCTCCTCCCTATTCTATATTGATCCTGTTTGCTTCAAATCACTTGAAATTTTGCTGAGCTTATGCTAATGGAGATGTATATTGCGAGCATTATACTTCTGAAAGCATATCTCCGCTTCATCTTAAGTGATTTGATTTAATTTAGTGGAGCATGCTCGGCGTCATCATTCATTCAAATTTTTTTCTCCCAAATTATCTGAAATACTCAAAAGTGGCTTTCTTTGCGAATAATTCGGTGAATGTATTAGTTGAGGAAAGTTTGAAAGTATTAAAAGGTACGTTTAATTTAATTACTCGTTAATGTAAGCGTCCCCTTCATCTTCGTCTTCATCATCACCAATAACCCCATCAGCTCCAATCTCCTGATATTGCTGATACTCACTAATCAGATCATTCATGTTTGATTCCGCCTCAGAAAATTCCATTTCATCCATACCTTCAGAAGTGTAGAAGTGTAAGAAAGCCCTTCTCCTAAACATGGCTGAAAACTGATCTCCAACTCGAATAAAGAGTTCTTGAATGGCTGTAGTGTTTCCGATAAACGTTCCGGAAATTTTGAATCCCTGTGGTGGAATATCGCAGACTGATGTCTTGCAATTATTCGGTATCCATTCAACGAAGTAAGATGAATTTCGGGTTTGTGTCTCAAGAATTTGATCCTCGATCTCCTTCATAGAGACCCTTCCACGATACATCGCAGCCACTGTGAGATAACGTCCACGATTCGGATCACAAGCAGCCATCATGTTTTTTGAATCAAACATCTGGCGAGTGAGCTCGAGAATCGAGAGGCTTTGAAAGGACTTAGCCTTACTACTAGCTAGTGGAGCAAATCCAGGAACAAAAAAGTGGAGTCGAGGAAAAGGCACCATATTGACGGCAAGTTTTCGAAGGTCGGAGTTGAGTTGCCCAGGGAAACGGAGGCATGTTGTTACTCCCGACATTGTAAGACTGACGAGATGATTCAGGTCACTGTAGTTGGGGCTAGAGAGTTTCAGAGTACGGAAGCAGATATCATAAAGAGCCTCGTTGTCAATACAGAAGGTCTCATCAGTGCTCTCAAGAAGTTGGTGGGCAGATAGAGTCGCATTGTAGGGCTCAACCACAGTGTTGGAAACCTGAAAATCGGTATGAAAACGTTTATATTCGTTTATTTTCTTAAATTGTTTCCCTAAGCTCATACTCAACAAACAAATTATTGTGAATTATTTTTACTTTTATTTTAGCTTTAATTTATTACTTAAAGTAGAGTAAGGATATTAAAACTAAAGACGAGCAGGACCGTAAAATTTGATAGGCTAATTAAATTTAAAATCGATACCACTCCTGTGCATTTAGGCTAAAAAATAGGCTTTTAGAAACAAACCAATGTACAAAATTCTTAAAGAATTTCCACCTGCTAAGAATCATTTCCATTTTAAAAGCCTTAAACGAATTAGGTGTGGGTGGTTAGCTTCTCTTCCTATTGAGAAAATGGGTGAATTGGAAATATTATGATCCGTTTTAGGCTTTTAGTGGAAATATGTAATACCTGAGGTGAGGCTCAAATAGATTAAAAGATTAAATCGACATTCAATAAAGAAACTCATAATTTAGCCTTATACACATCATATGAATTTGCATAAAACAAATAAAACCGAGCATAATTTAATGGCCCCAAAATGTATGTTTACCTTCGGAGATGGAACAACAGAAAAGGATGTCATAATACGATCAGGATACTCCTCCTTAATCTTCGCAAACAGAAGAGTCCCCATACCAGAGCCAGTGCCACCTCCCAGGCTATGGCAGAGCTGGAATCCCTGAAGGCAGTCACAGGCCTCCGCCTCTTTTCTCACAACATCCATTACCTCGTCGACCAACTCCGCTCCTTCTGTATAATGACCCTTAGCCCAATTATTACCCGCTCCACTTTGACCAAAGATGTAATTATCTGGACGAAAGAGTTTTCCCATAGATCCAGCTTTTACTGCATCCATTGTTCCAGGTTCGAGGTCAATCAACAGAGCTCGTGGGACATAGTTGTCATTTTGAGCCTCAGTATAATACACATTAATCCTTTCAAGTTGTAATTCTGAGTCGCCATGATATTTGCCTGAGCTATCGATCCCATGTTCTTGACCAAGAATTTCCCAGAACTATATGATTGATCAAAACATCAGATTGAGTAGTAAATGAAACAAGAGTTAAAGATTTTATGAAATCGAAAAGTACCTTCGTTCCAATCTGGTTTCCACACTGACCAACTTGAAGGTGAATTAATTCGCGCATGAATGCCTTAAACGATTACACTACGAAAAGAAATTAATTATGCATGAGTGAAATCTCTCTCTCCCTCTCTAATTGCATGAAGTTAACAAATCACCTGGGAGAATTTGATTGGTCAGCCATGAGTGCAACTCTATTTTCAATGGGAATTCGCTAAAATATTGTGTCACCGCAGCTCTTCTTTTCACCCACTTTTCTCCCATAATATGCTTTAGTTCAATCGTATGAGTCAGCATGTTTGACACTGTTTAACAAATATATTTAAATTTGCAAATTATAACCTAATTGTAACCATATTGGAGACCTATTGCATACTTTAATAATTTTTGTGATTATTAGCAGCCAGCGTATTTATGAATTTTGAATGAAATGCCAACCGTTATGATTTGAGAAAATAATCATTACTCAGTCAAATTGAAGACATCTTTAAAGTTATAATTGTTGTTTTAATTTTCGCTGAAACTTTCTGCAACAATCGTTGGCAGGCCTCTTATCATCTTTCAACTCGAATTATTTTTTTTTGAAAAAGCGTCCAACCGCACTCACACGTGACTCACAGTAGCCGACTGATGCCACCGACGTGATGAGTTTTGGTGGTGTATCAGGCGAAGGCTGTAGACACGTATTGAACATGCTTCAAACGACAATAGAGCCTTCTGTTACGAAACTAGTACCAATGGGGCTTATTTTGAAAGAGGATCGTACGATCCTTCAAGCGTTAAGTGGGTTAACCCTCACTATCATGTGGGGGAATGGAAATGCCTATGTCTCCGTGTTTATTGAGCTCAAATGCATCCGCGTCGCTAGGGGTCAATAACATGGCATTCTCATGCCATGGGCTTCCACCCCTATTCTCGCCAAAAAGAAAATGACAAGTTTATTGAAAAGAAAGGTTAAAATTTGCACTGATGCCTTATACTCCAGTATGTGTGCACGATTAATTTCTCAGGTTTTAATTCTTTTACCATTTGTTATGTTATTGTCATGTTATGTCGTGATTAAGGAGTACGCGATAGACTTACCTCAACGTGGTGCACCCTGGGCAACGTATACACGGCAAAAGAGTCCGTGGTGCACCCTGGGCAACGTACACTCACACCTTACCTCCACGTGGTGCACCCTGGGCAACGTATTCTCATTCGGCTTACCTCCGTGGTGCACCCTGGGCAATGTATATTTAGACTTACCTCCACGTGGTGCACCCTGGGCACCGTATACTCATACGGCAAAAAAGTCTATTAACCGGCAGTTGTTATACTCATACAGCAAAAAAGTCTATTAACTGGCAGTTGATTTCCCACTTCAAACTACCATCACCGAAATCTGTGCCATATTCTACTACTTTCACTGTACTCAGCTCACCTTTTTTTACCTTTGTGTCTGTTTCTTTTACACACTCTTCTCTTCCCCCCCCCTCGACTTTTTTCTCTTTGATTTTCCTTCCCCTCTGAGGAGCCTGAAGTTTAATAATGGGCTAATGATAACTATCATAATGACTGCCATTTGAAATAAAAATAAATGCTGTGATTACTATCATAAGAATTGACGATAAATCTCTAACAGACGCTATTTAAATAACACGGCATAGAGGGCGCGCTCAAAACTTGTAGAGAGAATAAATTACAATTTAATATGTGTTTTCTTTAATAAATTGACACAGCCAATAGGATTTATTGGTTGTGTGTCAGCCATGTGCCCAGCTTCATTTTGGCCAGTGCTACTAAACGGCTTGAAGGCATCACCGTGGAGGTAAGTCGGCAAGTTTACAGCGATTTATTTCATTTTTTGAGAGCGTGGTGCATACTGGACAATTTATGCTCAATGTATAAGGCAAAAAGTCACTTAACCGGCAGTTTACTTCTGACTTCATACTACCATGACCCCACTGGCTGCCATATTCGATCACTTCTACAGTACTCACCTCACCTTACCGTTGTGTCTCTCCCTTTTACGACTGTGAATCACTCTTTTGCGCCCCTTTCGACTTCTTGTGACTCTGATGTTCCTCCCCTCTGGGAACCCCGAAGTCGGCTGAAGGGCTAATGAGGGCTATCATGAATCCAGACATTTGATATAAATGTACAAATCTTGTCATTCTTACTAAGGATGGCATGTACCTCATGCTACTTTCCCGCCTTTAACTAACCAGAATAAGCCATTAAGAGAAGTATAACATGCGGTAAGTACAAGTATTCTCCATCGATAGACACTTCTTGACATAATTCTAGAATCTAGGCTGATGTCTGACCTTGTCAATAATCAGTCACCTTTAGGCATAGTTAAAGTAATTATAGCATTGCTATTCCGCTGATTGCACTCAATTAGGATGAATTTTAAAAATTAAAGATTTTAGAGTATTTCTATCTCAGTCACCTACCAAATGATGCGGTAGAGTGGTATTAACACATTTAGCACAGCAGCCTTAAAATACATGGGGAATCATTAACTTGGGTACACGCAAATAATTAAATTTACTTGTTCTACGACTGAGGACTAAGAAGTCATCTTCGTGAAACTCTATCAAAAGGGGATGTAAGTTGAATTCGCATTGAACATTTCAACTTTTTTTCTAATAATCCGAGTATTTATAACCTCTTTCATGCCGTGGATCACTTACTTCGGCATCTATTTTCCCCTGAATCCTGTCAATACTTATTCACTAGTATCTTGAATTATAAAGACTTAAGTGTTCCCTTCCCTCGTTATCTCCTATGCGAACATCCGAATGGATATTGTCCTGAAGTCTTACAAGTTGGTGATTCATGCAACAACAGTATCAACCCATGTGTAATTCTTTCCCAATATACTATAAGTAATCAGGCGAGGCGTAATTAAAGCGACGTATATTTGATATTCTCCGCATTCACTTCTCAAAGAAAGCAAACAGCAGCAGCAGGTAATGAAGATTCCAGAATGAGGAGAAGAGGGGTATTTTACTCCGCTTCGTATGCCTCCGCTTCTTCACCATCATCACCAAGGTCTTCATCAACTCCAATCTCCTGATACTGCTGGTACTCACTAATTAGATCATTCATGTTTGATTCCGCCTCAGAAAATTCCATTTCGTCCATACCTTCAGAAGTGTAGAAGTGTAAGAATGCTCTTCTTCTGAACATAGCCGAGAATTGGTCACTAACTCGAATGAAGAGATCTTGAATTGCAGTAGTATTGCCAATAAAAGTGGCAGCCAACTTGTATCCACTTGGAGGTATATCACAGACAGCAGTCTTGATATTATTTGGAATCCATTCGACGAAATAAGATGAGTTGCGAGTTTGGATTTCCAGGATCCTGTCTTCAACTTCTTTCATGGAGACTCGGCCACGGTAGATGGCTGCCACGGTGAGGTAGCGACCACGAGTTGGGTCACAGGCGGCCATCATATTCTTGGCATCAAACATTTGTCTAGTTAATTCCATGACTGATTGGTTCTGGAATGATTGAGCGGTTCGGCTAGCCAACGGGGCAAATCCAGGAACGAAGAAGTGAAGACGAGGAAAAGGAACCATATTGACGGCAAGTTTTCGAAGATCGGAGTTGAGCTGACCTGGAAAACGAAGACTTGTAGTTACTCCAGACATTGTAAGACTGACGAGATGATTCAGGTCACTGTAGTTGGGGTTCGGGAGTTTCAGAGTACGGAAGCAGATATCGTAAAGCGCTTCATTGTCGATACAGAAGGTTTCGTCAGTGCTTTCTACGAGTTGATGAACTGAGAGAGTTGCATTGTAGGGCTCTACCACAGTGTCGGAAACCTATAAGTAAATTTGTTATGTTTTACACTTTGTTGTTTAGGATGTAAGCCCATGACTGAACAAATGATTGCTCTCTAATTTGTTCAAAAAATAGTCAATTTTCATAACATTGGAGAGCAAAGTATTTTGAAAACTGTGGCTTTCAATAAAAATTAAATATTATTTAATCATAACTGATTAATTGACGGTGCTTATTTTTAGACCTATTTATCCAGTTCTATATGTATTATTAAGTATTGTGCTAAAAGAATACAATAAAATAAATATATATATCCCAATAAATATGGAATTAATGCGTAATCTTAAATCTTCAAAGTTATTCCAAATCTCGAAAAGTAATTTTCTTATTCAGTTTATTTAAAATGTAAGATTTGAAGTATATGATGCAATCAGAATATTTGTAAAGTTAAAACGTCAATTTATCAAAAAAGTTCAAACCAATTCAAATTGGCACAACTTGTGCCAAGATTAGAGCACTAACTTGCCTTCGTGTCTAATCCAATGTATAGATTAAGCAAGTCAATAACACGTAAAATTACATTTACAGATCCAAACAGATTTGTCTACCATGCTATATATATATATATATATATATATATATATAATTCTAACTAACCTTAGGCGAAGGAACAACGGAGAATGAAGTCATGATACGATCAGGATATTCTTCCCTAATCTTTGCAATTAGAAGAGTCCCCATACCAGAGCCAGTGCCACCTCCAAGACTATGGCAGAGCTGGAATCCTTGAAGGCAGTCACAGGCCTCCGCCTCTTTTCTCACAATATCTAGAACTTCGTCAATTAACTCGGCCCCTTCAGTGTAATGTCCCTTTGCCCAGTTATTGCCAGCTCCACTTTGACCAAAGACGAAGTTATCGGGACGAAACATTCCCCCCAAGGGTCCAGCTTTTATTGCATCCATAGTCCCTGGCTCGAGATCAATTAGTAGGGCACGGGGGACGTATTTGGCTCCTTGAGCCTCGTTGTAGTAGACATTAATACGATCCAATTGGAGGTCGGAATCGCCATGGTAACTTCCTGAGTTATCGATTCCGTGTTCTTGTGAGATGATCTCCCAGAACTATTAAAGGCGAATTATTAATTTATTGATTAAAAGGGAGTAAATGAGATTTACCTTAGTTCCAATTTGATTACCACATTGGCCCGCTTGGATATGCACAAGTTCTCTCATGTTCTCACTTAAAGCACCAGGTGATATTCTTGAGTTAAATAGATCTCATGAATGGATATGATTGGTTGAGATGTTAGATGTCACTAAGCAAATGACTTTTCAAGCACAGTGAATGAGAAACCAGGTATTGTTAGGTGGGTGATACTTTAAAGATATTACACAGCTCACCACCCTCCATAATGAATCTGACGTAGTTTGAATTATATGATTCGAATATAGCCTTACAATCAAGGCCATTTTGCAGCTTAAAATATATGAATTTTCATCATATTTCACTGAATGTGTTTATAATGGGGAGATACGTTTAATTTTTGCGTACATTCAATTGCACAGTAGCAATTACAGTTAAACTTTTGAAACACGTTTTAATGATACGTGTTTCCGCTGATATTTCGAAGGGATACCTTCACCTTACTTTGCCTCTAATGAACTCTGCTATGTCAAAGCTTATTTATTTATTTATTTATTTTAAATGACAAGCGCTATGATAGGTGTCATTAGCCCTTTAGTTGACTTCGGGTTTCACAGAAAGGAAGAGGAACATCAAAGTGTCAAAAATAGAGAGGAGAACAGAATAATGCTTCACAGACGTAATAGAGGCAGACAGACACAAAGATAGAAAAAAGGTGAGGTGATTACTGTGGAAGAAGTCGAATATTAAATGCAGTGGGCCATGGTAGCTTGAAGTCAGAAGCAAACTATCGGTTAAGAGACTTTTTTGCTGTATGAGTAAACGTTGCTCAGGGTGAACCATGTGGAGGTAAGTCTATCGCACACCCCACTATGTCAAAGTTATGATGGTTTCCATTAACGCCCTGCTTCTTGCTTTGTGAAAGAAAATACACTTGCGAATCTGTATGTCAATGATAAAGAGCCACAAAATAGCCACTGCACCGTGAATATTATATCACTCATGAAGATGGGACCAAATCAGACTATTTCGGCACAGAAAAAAGGGACAGACTGCTTGAGAGTAAAGTGGATGTAATCAGTATTCAAAATACAATTCCCTGATTCCGATTTCTCCTCTCCTTATTCATCTCTTCCACGCAAAACGATATTGGCCGTCACTTGTTTCTCGAGGCTTCCACACAACTAAAAATTGCAATATCTAATTGTAAAAATAATAATACAATCTTACAAAAAGTTTTTTGAAAAGAACTGATTTTGACTATTTGAGCAATAAGTAGTTGTGGATAGAATTCAAAGTAACGGAGTAAAAGCGCCTTGGGAGAAGTTGAAATTGATTCCCACTAATGCTTTTCTTCTCGCAAATTCGTATGAGCCTATTTTGGTTAAATTTAATTTCTTTTCTTTTTAAATTAGGTTAACTCCGCGTATGCTAATGCGTACCAAAGTGCCATGACAACAAAGAAATCCGGTCAAGAGGAGAATGAGGTTACTCATAGCCAACCCGTTAAATTTCTTAGTAAAAAAATGCACAAAGTAATAAAAGTACTTGTTTTAAAAAAGAAAATCCATTCATGAAACTCTATTTTTGCTTCATATATGTGAATTCCATTTTAGAAGGAAGATTTCACAAGGCCGTTCCTTAAACCTACATTTCATTGTCCAAATACGCTGATCTCGAACACATTTTTTTCGATATCATTGCCATACCTATTGCTGAAGTGCAGATGCGTTAGACTGCGAATTTCCGTGTGTGTGTGTGTGTGTGTGTGTGTGTGTGTGTTGAGGATTTATGAAATGTCGCATGGGTTTCTAAGATTTCGATAGAGAAACCCAAGATCAAAGGATTTCGCTCGTGTAAAGTCATATAAATTAAATCGGTTTGAATGACGGGGCTACCAGCTCTTTGCCTCTCGCCACAACGAGAGATTGGATCAGATTGTGGCATAATATTAGCATTAAATGCTTTGAACATAACAAACGTTATGGATTCAGGGAATGCGTCAGCTTGAGGCATGTCGGAAGAGGAATGGTAAACGATACCATAGGAGATTGCTCAGCGCATTCACAACTTGAGTCTCGTTCCTACTAAGAAGAACCGTAAAATCAAACCCTGCAATCTACTATTTACATAACCGATTTTATCTTTTTATAAGGTTTCCGTTTCACATGCACTATAACATGTCGTGATAGTTGAATATTTCCTCAAGCAAATTATATTGCAAATAGCTAAGCTGATTTAAAATTACTCGCAATTGTTCAATTCTAAAGTCCTACTTCATGGTAATCAATTTGATTACCTACTGCAAGTAATTCTAAAATCTCTTTCGGCATGCACACACGCGTTTATCGATTGAATAGTGTCATTAGCACTGTGTTAGAACGCGTCTATCAGAAGAGTCACCTCCTGAAAACTTGCATTTTGACATTTACTGCACGCCTTCTGTGCATGTGTGCGTACGTATGTGTGCTACAACCCATTGCGTAGTTTTTCTCCATTCCATTTCGTGGGCGTGAACCCACCTTCGGACCTATCTCTTCTCCATTCAAATTTACAAGTCATTAAAAAATTCCCTTTGGGATTTTATTAAATTTAACTCATTTGATCATTGTAATTGGGAGTTAAAACGTGACAAAACATTATGGCATTGAAATTAACTCCTTATTATTGGTTAGATTTCATTCCAACGCCATAAACAGCCAAATTTTATTGAAAAATAGTAATAATCAATTTTCATTATTTTCAAATGAATATGTAGAGTTTTATCAAACAAAATAAATAAATTCTATTCAGTTCTTCCATTGGCAATTTAAATAATATTGGCATCTCCTAATTGACACTGATCTCAACTTACAACGAGTTTAAAGTAAAAATACTCATCTACTAATGGATTTAAGTAATATGGTTCTTAAGTTTTTCAGAAGATTTTAAATGTCGATTCATAGTTGCAACATGAGTATTTACCAAATTAAATCAATAAATCGAAACTAAATTATTGATTTATAAGGAAATGAAGAATGATGCAATAAGATGAGAATTTTTGAAATGAATTCCGAAAGTTCACAAAGTATTCAAAGTTCAATTTAATTAAAATCGATTAAATATAAATCAACCTAACTGCTATAAAAATATTTCCACTAATCATTAATGATCAGTGAATAATTCGATTTATAAAAGAAATGAATTAAACTTGCTCTTTGCTTGTAGAGTCTGTCAAAGATATTTATTTTCAAATCTAAGAAAGCATTTACCTAATAGGGGCTGACAAACTTGACAGTAATCTACAAAAATCTGGCCGATAAACTCCATTAATCCTTCCACTCCACTCCGCCCAGCAGTAGGTGTTGCATAATTTATGCTTGACAATGCCAACGAATGACTGATAGAATTTTTAATGAAGTATTTAACTTCATTTTAAGTTAAGCCTTGGCTTTTGGCAAAATATTTGACTGACTGGAAAGTTGGAATAATCCGATTGAATTTGAAGTAAAAAAAAACACAAAAATTGGCCTCAATGAGAAAGAGAAATTTACCATTAAAAAACTAATTTCTTATGACAATAAGGGCATAAATTACCATCATTTTGATTAAAACATAAAAACGAAAGCTTATTCGAACCCAATGATAAATTGAAAAATCTCGTTTAAGCCCCCAAATAAATATTTATTTGCATGGTCTGATATTTGTGGGGTGTGCAACGCTATTTAGGCTGATTAAAGAAACCACAGTAGAGCTAGAATATTCTGGAATGCGAGCAACTGGGACATGTGCGCAGAAATTTAATCAACCAATTAGCAATTAATATTTTTTTAAAGTGAACACATTTTCTTGCTAAATATGCACCGAAATTAGCCAGAGGAACAACAAAAGCTTTTTAGTTTATACATTCTGCATTTTCTTCGTTTTGAAGGCAGCCTAGGTATTCTTGGGGTGCTGCATCTCACTGCAGACAATTTGACTTCCAGGAGGAATAGAAGAATTTAACGAAGTGATAATTCGCGAAGTAGCCGATACATATCTTCTGTTCATTCTTTTGCTTTGCCGGTGAAAATTATTCCAATCAAAATTTGAGCAAAACTGCGCATTTTATTATTGACGACTTTATGACCCTTGTAGCGAAGTTAACGAGCATTACTCAGGTTTCAGTAGCCTCAAAAAATTACTTAGAAAAAAATATGAGTATTTATTTGGGTGCAAATATTAATTTCTGATTCAAGCGGAAGGGAGGGGGTTGGTTGGCAGATAGAATTTTGTACTCCCGAGGGAATTATTTCAATTCAGGGATGTAAATTAGTTCTCAATGCAGTTGATTTTTCTTTGTATTGATTTGTATTGATTGATTTTGAACATTCCTCAAGCACTCTTTTAATGGCTAATTAGGTAGTCAGTCAACTCAAATCGATATCGATTTGTGTTAAAACGAACTCTACGTTCTTAGTGAAGGGATGATGTACAAGTATTCTTTCTTAATCCCTCTTCTTGTCCCATGGAACAAAGCAATCCTTAGTCACCAACCCCCCCCCCTCCACCCCCCTCCAATAAACTATTCTTCTACTAAATAATCTCCATTTTATTTCTCTTTTTTACTCGCTTCTTTAACCATCTTTTACTTGGACCAATCTGTGCACATTGTTTATTTAAATGTAGCACAATTGGAATTACCTTAGACTGCGAACTTGTTAATGTCCTGATTTTGTACTTGACCTTTCGATTTTCGCAAACTAGCGCTATCGTTTGGAGAAATTAGGTGAATGCAGAGGATGCCTACGTAAATAGTAACAACGGAAAGATGCAATATTGTCAATGGCAGCTAGACTTGACACATCGAAAGTATTTCCCAAAATCACATTACCCTTGTTCTCAACACTTGGCTGACAGGACGTCGAAAAATAACATTGTTTTTGCGGACGAACAATCCCTACTTTTTCTCGAGATTAGAAAAAAATTGAAGGCGATTGCTTCTCAATTGAAAGGTGGGATCATTTTTGGGATACTTCACGGTATGGAAAAAATTAGCATCGGTCCTGGATGTTGATTGGATTTCCACCTTCGATTTTATGAAATGGTAGTTTTTTTCCCCAAATAGTCT